GAAACATGGATCAGTATTGGCGGATCCAAAAATAAGGGACTTTTTTCAGATACTGCTTTAAAATGACCAAAAAACAAAAGCACTGGGTAAGAAGCTTTCCATTGTCATGCTAAAGAATGGGCGAAAAAGAAAAGAGGTTTTTAGTTTATAAGGTAGAGTACAACATAGGAAGTCTCCAAGGTGTTGAGCCCTTCTTCTAATGTGTTTGAAGAGGGGGCTCTATATTTTTTATAAAGTCCTAAATGATCAGTCATAAGAGCATGCTAAATATACACCACAGTTATATCTTCATCGCTGGGCTAAAAATAGCATGCAAAATCATGACATACAAGAGGATCAATGAAGCAAGTGTATCATGGAGGGCTCAAACAGGGTTGAGCCCTTAATGAAAGGTGAAGATGAGCTCAAAAGACGGCCCTTTTCAGTTAGGGCCGGAGCTTGAAACAAAAAGCAAGTGAGGCTTACAAATGGATCAAGGAAAAGGGTCAAAAGAGAAGAAGTGTTACTTACCCTTGAAGACTAAGGCTTTGGTTGCTTCTTGGACCAATTTGCAGCTACTTTGGCCTTTGAGAAGCTTTCCTTGTTGCTGGAAATGAGGTGGTGGTGGTAGAGCTTGGTGGTGTAGAAGAAATGGTGCTTATGGACTTAGGGTTTTTCAAGAAATGAGAGCTATGGAGATGGAGTTGTATATGGAGACTTGAAGAACAATTTTTCTAACCCTTGTAAGTGAAGCCACCAGCTGGTTATAAGGGTTCAAAAGGGGGTGTAAAGGTGGGGGAAAAGGAGAGCAAAATTCCCCCACAAAATATCCCCCGGATAAAGATCTTTTCTGGGGGATATTGCCCCACAGCTGTAAAGTGCACAGTGCAAGGAACACGGCCGGCCTATTACTTTTGCTCCAGGTGGCCGGCCGGCCACACCCCCTAGCCGGCCGGCTAGGGGTCAAAAGGTTCAATCATATTTTCTGGCCGGCCACCAACTGGTGGGGTACTCCTATGTGTGTACAACACAACCATGTGGTTAAAAGTCCAAGAAAGTGGGTCCAAGGGGTTCAACATTAGCTCGGAAAGAGGGGTTCAAAAGGGTCAATTTGAATTAATGGCCGGCCATGAACTTTTAGGGGCCTCCCAAGTGTGCACATCACAAACATGTGGTTCAAAGTTGGAGAAAATGGGTCCAAGGTATTCAACATTAGCCCGGAAGTGCGAAAAACGGGCGCGGGAGGGCGTCGGAGGATGTATAACTGGTTGTTGCAACAATTGCTGGCCTCCCACCCTTCAGTGACCTCCCGGTGACAAAACAGAGGTACCTGCCAAAAATGAACGAAAACCGTTGCAAAATGAAAGTTCCGGGGCCAAAACACGCAGTTCGGGGTTCCGAAAATGGGCTGTTAAGCGCCGAAAGTGGCGTTCGGCCACGAAGTGGGTTTCTCATACCCCAGTGTCCCTCAAAAGGGAGAAAATAGGAAGTATGCCAAAAACCGGAGCAATAGGAGATGGTTAAGCGGTCCCGAACCGAGGCACACGGCCTGACGGCTCCGAAAACCGGAAACCGGACTCCGAAATGGGAAAAATGGCCTACGGCCACCAAATGTAGCCTACGGACATTGAGAGATGATCTACGGGACCTCTCCCTTCCCTCAGGAAAAGAAACAGAGAAAACCGAGTCTGGTTCGCAAACCGAGGCAAGGTACAGAAAAGGGTTCGGAAGTCCGGAGGCAGGGCTCACGGCCGCGACTCTGAGACTTCTGAACGAGCACATTATGCAACATCACCAAGCGCTCAATCGGTGACGTCTGAGTCTTAAGGTCGGTCAAAAATGGGGTGTCTACAATATGATGTATATGTTTTGTTTACGAAATGTTCGATATGATAAGTATTTTCTGAAATGATAAGATATGCTACAAGCATCAGTCATATTTATGATATGATAATTTTTCCAAACTAGTATTTCCTAAAATGATTAGATATGCTCTGAAACTCCGATTGTTTATAATATGACAAGTTTTCTAGAAAAGATGTTTTGCTAAGAATGAATGAAATTCCTTTTTGATTAACTAATGTGACATCCGAAAATATATGTTTTGATAACACTTCCGTTCTGTCTTCGACTCATCAAAGGCATTCTACATATGCTATTGATTCATTATAAAAGTTCTATATGATGTCAATCTTTGATGATCATTCTATATGGCTTTGATCATGTATGATTATTCTGTATGATTCCGTACCTTCATGGACGTTCTATATGATATCAACCCATTATAGACGTTCTGTATGATTTCGTCCAAATGTGGACGTTCGGTGTGAGCTCAACCAATGTAGATGTTCTATATGCTTTCGTTCCATTGTGGACATTTTGTATGATTTCGATCCATTGAGATCGTTCTATCAAGTTCTAAGAATGCTATCGAATGTACTATGTAATGTGTTTAACTAAGAAAGATTCGATGAACTTTATGTATTGTCTATGTATATCTGAAAAATGCTTTGATCATGTTGTTTTTATAAATCTGGAACTCATTCATTAACCCTTTACATTGATGTTACTCATTGGGCTTCTAGTTCACTGCATTCTCCTATATATATGTAGGTGAGCATCAGGATGATCAGCTATAGTGTTTGCTTTGGAGTCCGCTGATTTGTCAAGCCAACCGAAGAAGTGCCTCCGTGTTGAGGCTTTAGCTTTTGTTTTGATCAAGTTTAAAGCTTTATCAAGCCATATATGTATGATCTTAGGATGTATGAGATAAATGTTTATATATTTTTTATATGTATGTGATGAAATGTTTTATTTATTTTTGTTCATGTCATTTATGCACTGCTCAATGGACAATATTATTTATGTTATTACTTCTGTTTCATGCCCCGATATTAAATAAATATCTTTTGTTTTGGTTAAGAGGCCGTAGGTAATATATGATTACTCCACTCTAACCTCTAGGGGCGGGTTGGGGTTGTGACCCGAATTATCCTCCGAAGATGTCAATTCTCCCTCACAAACAGTCAAAGAATTTGAGTTAGAATGGCATTGATCAAGTACCCTCCTAACAAGACTCTTGAGAAATTCATAAGCACAAATCTCATCATAAAAGTTTAACACATACCCAGTCACTTCCCATGAGTCCAAGGTATTCAAATCTAGTTAGCACTGATACCAAGTTGTAACGCCCCAATATTTCTATACCATTATATAGATTACCAATCTGTTACTATTACTCGATTCCATAACATTAATGTGAACAAGAAATAAAAGACAACAATCTTATAGGCCACAACTCCTCTAATTTTCATAAATTCTTCTTCAAGTTCCTTACATTAATTTACAATAAACGAAATTATAAAATATACATCAAATTGCCATAAGGGCTTACATCTTGCAAAGCTAAGGGCCTTGATCGCAACAATATATAATCTTATCTCGGCAAGTAAGCTCGATAGTTGTAAACAAAGTAACATCAAAATGAGCTTCAATGCTCCATCTAGAACTCCATATGCTTCTCAACGCATTAAAGGCACATCTTCATCGCCTAGAATTTTGGATATCTAGCCCATAAAAAAAGAGTGAGCAATTATGCTTAGTAAGAAATAAACTTAACACAATATACAAATGTTCAGTATGATTATGTTTGTACAATGCCATGTTATGCATAAGACTCTTGGCTACGTTTGAAACTCAATACTTAATGTATAACTTAAAACCCATGTTTAACCCAAACTCTTGAACCTTTATCATACCCAGGAAATTCTCATTTACATTTTTAATAAGACTTCCAATACATAACTCAAAACAATCCCACATTTACCGACCACCGAGTATGGAAGGGCAATTGCACACCTATCACATTTCCAAAAACCATTTCCACATTTACCGCATCATGCACAGAAGGGTAATTGGACACCCATTACAATTTGAAAATATCTTCACATTTACCGGCCACCAAGCACGAAGAGACAATTGGACACCCAACAACCTATTCAACGGTATTCCCCACATTTACTGACGTTAAGCACAGAAGGTTAATTGGGCACCTTAACAATATACCAATAGCATTCCCACATTTTCCAGCCTCCAAGCACAGAAGGACAATTGGGCACCTCAGCACACACATCGCAGTTCCAAAACACACACACACACACACCTTTAAATCACCCGACACTTTGTCCAAAACCATGAAATTGCAACACGTAAAAACTAATGAAATATTCTATTTTCCACGACTCCAAGTCTTTTTATTACCAAAAATAATTATGTGCAATATATTAACTTTACACCCTTCCAACGTTCCCAAGTTTCCACATGTTTAACTTTCATGAATCTCCAATAATATCAACAAAAATCAAAAATCCATCTCACTCACATATATTCAAGGAAAATCAATTGAAATTTCAACATAAAATACCAATTAGTTCAAACCCTCTTTTAAATTAAAAATTTCAAATCTAAAGTTTCAAGAAAATTGGAGGTTTTCCTCATTTCTTCCTCAAATCCTCAAATCATCAAATATTATTCATCAATATGTCTAAGCATTCAAAACATTTCAAAAATTTGAGTAAAACCCCTATCTTTGTACACTAACATCTTTTAAATCAAAGTTTTCTAGCTCATATCAACCCATAACTCCAAAATGTTACAAAATCACACCAAACCATAAATATATAGGGTTAAGAGAATCCTCTGCCCCAAAGATAAGAGCTAACAAAAAAGAACTAAGCAAGAACTTTGATGAAATCGCAATCCAATTAGTCAACAGGTTGATCTTCACTATCTTTTCGCTTTTCTTACACGATCTAAGGCGGATCTTTAGTGGAAATAGGTGAAATCAAAAGTTTAGAGCTAGGGTTTTTTTGAACAAGAGAAAAGAGAGAGAGAGAGAGAGGGAGAAAAGAAAAAGTGAGAAATAAAGGAGCAAAAAGTGATTTTAAGTAGGTTGAATACGTGTAGACCGCTCAAGCAGTGAACTCAAACTCTCAGCATTTCAGTCTGCAGAGCAAACTACTGGATGCACCCCCTCACTTCTCGAGTAGTAAATCAACCATTCAAGCGATCTCCTAGGACATAGCTAGACACACATGCTCAGCTCGTAAGGCACTCCTAACATATCAACCTTATTATGTTTATAGTGTAAATAAGAAAATACCCCACATTTGGATTCAAAAGAAAAGTATAAAAAAAAATCAAAATCCAATTAAATCAAAAACTGGTTCCCCCAGGTTTAATACAAAAATAATTTTCTAACTGAAATTTCTAAGTTTGGCGTTGAAGTAAAGTGGTTAACATCTCGTAAAAAATTCCCATAAAATCAAATTAGACTATTTAATATATATATATATATATATAAGGAACAATTACTGCCAAAAATTATCTTTTAAATCGTAAGTTTTGAAAAATCTAATTTTTACACTTAGAAAATTTTCAGGCTAGGTCCAATCTTTAACAAAAAAACATTTTCAGTACAGCCATTTTTATATGAACAAGAATAAGGATTGAATTTCGATCCGAGTTGTTACAAGGAGGAAGAAAATAAAATAAAAATGAAATTATGTATATCATTGCTCCTCTAAATTGGATCTAGATCAAATATGAACTATTCTTAATCAAATGTTGATCAAATATGAACTACTGACAAGTCTAAATTATAGCATCAACCAAAGTAATATCACACAAAATATAATTTTTATATAAAATGATACAGTTATTGTTAAAGTTGTTAGGATCTTCTACCTGATAAGGTTCGGGTTTTCTTGTTTTTAGGATTGTAGTGCTTTGAAGTCCTGCGTAATAATCCCTAGTCTTAAGGGGCAAGTTATTTTCTGTTTAGATTTAGTCATGCACCACGATTCTAGGGCAGTAAAGTCGTAGGTTGTTATTTCCCTTCCTGCTTTGATGTAAGGCTATTTAATAGCCATGTTGGTTCTTTAATTCTATAAGAAGTTCTCTCTGCATCTAAGAGTAATTGTGTGTTTGTTTCTGCAAAGTTCTTTGTCATTGTGCTTGGTTTTAACATGTGGTATCAGAGCTCTATCACGGGGCCTGACCAACAGCTTGTACCACAGCCATCACCGTGAAAGAACAACATGACAAGTAAAAGCAACTTTGTGTAGCCTACTATCCCACGATTCAATGGACACTATGATCACTGGAGTATGCTTATGGAGAATTTTCTGTGTTCAAAGGAGTATTGGAGTTTGGTGGAAACTGGGATCTCTGCAGCAGTGGAAATGAACGAATCTCACTAAAGGACAGAAGAAGGTGATTGAGGATCAAAAGTTGAAGGACCTGAAGACTAAAAACTATCTGTTCCAGGCCATTGATCGATCCATTTTGGAGACAATATTGAAAAAAGACACAGCAAAGGACATCTGGGACTCTTTGAAGTAGAAATACCAAGGGACAGCACGAGTTAAACGTGCTCAACTCCAAGCTCTTCGCAAAGAGTTTGAAGTGTAGCACATGAAAGCTGGGGAATCGGTGAACGACTATTTTGGAAGAACCCTCATCACAGCCAATAAGATGAGAATTCATGGCGAAAGGATGGAGGATGTGGTGATCATCGAGAAGATCTTGAGATCCACGACTCCAAAGTACGACTATGTTGTATGCTCGATCAAAGAATCAAATGATTTGGATACTTTATCCATAGATGAGCTTCAAAACTGTCTTTTGGTGCGTGAACAACGGATCAGCCATCACACTGTGGATGAACAAGCCCTTCTGATCACTCACGGACTTCAACTAAGAGGAAGAGGTGGTGGTAGAGGTTCTTACCGAGGAAGAGGAAGAGGTAGGGGCAGGTTTGATAAATATACCCTAGAGTGTTATCACTGTCATGAGTTGGGTCATTTTCAATGGGAATGCCCCCAAAGAGCAAGAGATACAAAGGTCAACTTTGTCGAGACCAGTGAAGAGATGCTTTTAATGGCGTATGTGGATGGCAACGAGGCTGGAAGAGATCACTTGTGGTTTCTTGACTCTAGGTGTAGTAATCACATGTGTGGGAAAAGAGAGTTATTCTCACAATTTGATAACAATTTCAGAGAAAAAGTGAAGCTGGGCAATGATATGAGTCTCACTGTGCAAGGGAAGGGCAACATTTGAATGGAGATAAATGGGATCGTGCAGGTGATTACTGAAGTTTTCTTTGTGCCGGAGTTGAAGAACAATTTACTAAGCATTGGTCAATTACAAGAGAAAGGTCTTGCAGTGCTCATACAACATAGAAAGTGCGAGATTTATCATCTTGAAAAAGGTTTAATCGTGGACACCGAGATGGCATGCAACAAAATGTTTGATGTGCTTGGTCACTGTCCTCCAAAAGAGGAAAAATGCTTCTCCTCTATAACCACAGATCAAACTCAACTCTTGCATTGCAGTTATGGTCATCTTAGTTGGAATGGTCTCTAGGTGATCCAACAAAAGAATATGGTAGATGGTTTGCCTCAGTTGAAGGTTCCTTTGAAGATCTATGAAGACTGTTTGATAGGAAAACAACATCACAATCCTTTTCCAAAGGAAAGCACATGGAAGGCATCTGGAATTCTTCAGTTAGTGCATGCGGAGATATGTGGGCCAATAAAACCAATCTCAAACAGCAAAAAAATGTATCTCATTACTTTTATGGATGACTTTAGCAAAAAAAACTTGGGTTTATTTCTTAGTTGAAAAGTCAGAAACATTTGCTACCTTTAAATCCTACAAAGCTAGAGTTGAAAAAGAAACCGGTGCATTCATAAAGAGTCTTCAAACTGATCATGGGGGTGAGTTTGCATCACAAGAGTTTACTCACTTCTATGATGAGAATGGCATTCAAAGGCAATTAACAGCAGCTTACACACCTCAACGGAATGGGGCCGCAGAGAGAAAGAATCGCACTATCATGAATATGGTGCGCAACATGCTGTCAGAGAAGCAAATCCCAAAGAATTTTTGGCCTAAAGCAGTGAATTGGACAATGCATGTCTTGAACAGAAGCCCGACACTTGCCGTGAGAAGCAAGACGCCAGAAGAAGCCTGGAGTGGGTTTAAGCCTTCATGTACCTGATAGCAAGAGAGTAAAGCTCGATGCCAAATGTCTAAAATGCATATTACTTGGGGTAAGTGAAGCATCCAAGGCTTACAAGTTATTTGATCCAATTTCTCAAAAAATAATCGTGAGTCGTGATGTGGTTTTTTAAGAAGACCAAAGGTGGAACTGGGATGATAGTCACAAGGAAACTATTTTGGCTGATTTGGAATGGGAGAAAGATGAAGATGCAGGGACAAATGAAAGCCTTGGGGAGGAAACTAAAGAAAACATCACTCCTTTTCATGAACTTGAAAACTTAGGATCCGTTCCAAGTGACTCACTTGAAAGGGGAGAGTCTTCAAGTGATGGAAATCCTTTTCATGGAGGACGAGTTTGAAGACCACCAGGGTGGATGCAAGATTATGTAAGTGGGCAGGGCTTCTCTGATGAAGAAAATGTCGATGTGGCTCATCTAGCCTTATTCTCTGAACATGATCCCTTGACATATGAGGATGCAGTGAAGAGTAACAAATGGAGACAAACCATGGATGCTGAAATCGAAGCTATTGTGAAAAATGATACATGGGAACTCACCGAGCTGCCATCTGGAGTAAAGACAATTGGAGTAAAATGGGTTTTTAAAACGAAACTCAATGAACATAGGGAAGTGGACAAATACAAGGCTCGACTCGTTATGAAAGGGTACAGTCAACAGTATGGAGTGGATTATGCTGAGGTGTTTGCACCAGTAGCTCGTTTGGATACCATTCGAGTGGTTATCTCACTTGCTGCCCAGAAAAGCTAGATGATCTACCAACTAGATGTCAAATCTGCATTTCTGCATGGAAAGATAGATGAAGAAGTGTTCGTGAATCAACCACCAGGATATGAACAAAAGGGACAAGAACATAAGGTATGTCAACTGAAGAAGGCTTTGTATGGACTCAAACAAGCTCCTCGAGCTTGGTACAGTCGAATAGAGACCTATTTTGTTCAAGAAGGCTTTGAGAAGTGCCCTTATAAGCACACTTTGTTCTTAAAAACAGCAGATGATGGTAAAGTTTTGATTGTGTGCCTTTATGTTGATGATCTTATATTCACTGGTAATGATAAGATTATGTTTGACCACTTTAAGAAATCCATGATGATGGAATTTGAGATGATTGATCTTGGTAAAATGAGGTATTTTCTTGGAATAGAAAATAGAAGTATGCTCAGGAGGTTTTGGAGAGATTCAACATGGCCCAGTGCAATCCAGTGCATAATCCAATGGTTCCTGGCTTTAAACTCACTAGGGATGAAAATGGAGTAAGGATTGATGGGACATATTACAAACAGATCGTGAGAAGCCTTATGTACTTGACTGCCACTCGTCCTGATTTGATGTTTGTAGTAAGTTTAATTAGCAGATATGTGAAATGACCCATTGAGACTCATTTGCAAGCAGCGAAAAGAGTGTTAAGGTATGTGAAGGGTACAGTCAGTTTTGGATTATTCTACAAGAAGGGAGGAACTAAGGAACTTGTTGGCTACACAGATAGCGATTACACTAGTGATCAAAATGATAGGAAGAGCACCTTTGGCTATGCTTTTATTTTGAGTTCAGGTGTAGTGTCTTGGTCTTCTAAGAAACAGCTAGTAGTCACTCTTTCAACTACTGAAGCAGAGTTCATCGTTGCTGCATCTAGTGCTTGCCAAGCTGTGCGGCTAAGGAGGATTTTGGAGCAGTTTAATCATGGTCAATACAAACCAATAGTGGTTCACTGCGATAACATCTCAGCTATTAAACTGTCAAAGAATCCAGTCATGCATGGTCGTAGCAAACACATTGATGTGCGCTTTCATTTTCTTTGAAATCTCATCAAAGATGAAGTTGTTGAATTGGTGTAGTGTTCTACTCAAGAGCAAATTGCAGATATTTTGACAAAGCCACTAAAGCTCAAGGTGTTCGTGAAGATGCGTGGTCTTATGGGCGTCTGCGAAAATCCAGGGATAAACTGAATATTGATAGCATTCAGTTTAAGGGAGGATGTTAAAGTTGTTAGGATCTTCTACTTGATAAGGTTCAGGTTTCCTTGTTTTTAGGATTGCAGTGCTTTGAAGCCTTGCATAATAATCCCTAGTCTTAAGGGGCAAGTTATTTTCTATTCATGCACCACGATTCTAGGGTTGTAAAGTCGTGGGTTGTTATTTCCCTTTCTACTTTGATGTAAGACTATTTAATAGCCATGTTGGTTCTTTAATTCTATAAGAAGTTCTCTCTGCATCTGAGAGTAATTGTGCTTTTGTTTTTGTGAAGTTCTTTGTCATTGTGCTTGGTTTTAACAGTTATCCTCTAATCTCCAGACAACAGACTCACAATATTGAAAATGATAGTGCTAAATATCTGTATTAAAATTCATCTTACATACTACTTATTAATAGTTCTCCAAGAAAGAAAAAGTTGCACAATTATATGATTAGTAATAGGAAATTGATATCTTACCAAACTTAATTTTATATTTTTCGTATTAGACACAAGGAGATGGTTCCACATAGATCCGATTATTTAAGTATCTAATAGTGAAAAAAATTCATAAGAAATTAGTTTATGTATAATATTAATTCTACTAAATAATATTATCTACTTGATAAGAATTTTGATCATGAATGACTTTCAGTAATGCCCGCCGCCACTTGGGATTAAGGGCAATGCTCGTCGCCACGTGGGATTAAGGTGCATGGAGAAGGGATGGGGAGGGGGGCTTTTGGCTCTTTGTGATCGAAAGCTGACTCAGAGCCGCCGCTGCCGCTACCGTCACCGCCGCCGCCACAAGCTGTCAACTTGCTACCATCCAAAGGCCTTGATTCAAGGGGTTTGGTTGTAAGTAAAATGAATAACAACATTAGGATCATCATCTGAGCAACCTTCAACTTCATGACAATATCCAAGCACAAGTTCATTGTTCAATCAATGAAGAAATGGATGATGGTTTGAAAGGCTTATATATGTTATGGTATATATGATTGATATCAAATTCTAAGACCTGAGTAAACAATCACGCACATAAAAAATCTAAAACGAAGAAGCAAAAAAATAGAAAAATCAAACTTATCAAATCTCAAGCTACGGCCACAGAGTCACTAAGGTTTTATTGACATCAATATAAAAGAGTCTCTTACATTCAATCTCATAAATTCTCTTTCCACAATGATCTATATCTCACCCTCACTATGGTATATCTCTAAGATAACAAAACTAATGGATAAATGAAAACATACAACTTCATGTCTGTATTTAGGTTATTTATAGCCAACTAGGAAGTGTTAAGAGGTAGATGACCACCTTCATGGCAAAGGTGACGAAATTACTTTGAAGAACGCCTCAAGATATCTAAGCAAATTTCAACAATAATTTTATAAGGATACTTTTAAAAATTGTTAGTGTTAAAAAAATATGTTTTTAAAACGTGTATATATATACAAGTGTTTTGAAATATGTGAAAATTATATTAAAATTATAAATCTTTTGATATTTTATATTTGTTATTGACAGCCTGAGCATTGTCATTAGCATAACCCATTTTATAATCTCAACAAGTTAGCTGAATGTTAAAAATTTAGGACAAATTACCAACACTCCCCTTGGGATTTGACTAAAATACGGATTTCTTTCTGAAATTTGAGAAATTACATCCCGCCCCCTGAAGTTTATATTTGCATAACTGATTAAGGTCGAAATGTACATCATTGAGGCCGTTAATTAGAATCTCTTAACTTCACTTGCTGGTCAAACTGTATACTTTATGTGTGTTGAATGTCAATCAGGTTGTACATCGTCGGAGCATAAAATGGGCAAAAAGACATAATTTGGACAGAGTTGACTTTTCCCGCACGTGTGTTAACTTTCCCGCACGTGCGTTGACTTTTTCTGGGAAAGTCAAACCGACGTTTTAAACCTGTTTGGAAGTGAGTAGAAGTATAAAAAGAAAAGGAAAAGGCTTTTCTAGGGTTCTGAACTTGTTTTGACCTAAAGAGAGAGGCTAGGGTTTGGAAGGGAAGAGAAACAAAAAGCTTCAAGAATGTCTCACTTGGTGGTTTCTTCTCCATCTATCTCCTTCCACTCCTCCATGAGTGGCTAGTCTCATTTTCTAGGGTTTTGATGAAACCCTAGCCATGTAATTATTTAGTTTTCTTTTTGATTTTTAATTATGTAAAAGTTTGAACATTTGTATGGTGATTTAGAAGTTTCTTATATATATTTTTCATTATCTCTTCAAATATTTGACTTTCTGTGATTGTTGAATGTTATCCATACATGAGTTTTCTATTCCTTCACATTCAAGACGAACCATACTACGAGGAACGAGTCGTATCACTACCTTAGTTTAGAGTGAACGATTCGTATTACTTGAGATGGTTCGTGCTCGTACATTGAATGTGATGATCTTCTTGTTAAATGCTTTGAGCTTGTAGTTGCGAAGCATTAATCCGTTCAAAGCATAGCATAATTGATTTCAATTGGAAACCCTAATTACGTGGCTAGTGGTGGACTCTTTGCTCTAGTTTTTCCCCTAATTCAGTAAACCTAATTTCATTTATTATTGATAATTTAATTCCTTAGTTTAATTTATTTGTTATTAATTTAGGCTATGAACAATCAATCTTTTTATCAAAATTAATTTAGGAATTTAACAATTAAATTAGTTTAATTTCACAATTGTCCCTGTGGATCGATACCTAGACTTGCCATTATTCTGAAAGAATTTGGTGTAGTTTACTATTTAATTTTGGTGTGTTCAACGACCCATCAAAAACAAATTGTCCCCTTATTTGTTATGTAAATATAACCCTCAAGGAGCAATTTGTAATTTCTCAAATCTCAAGAGAAAATTTGTATTTTATTCAAACCTCAAGGGAGACGTTGGTAATTTATCCAAAAATTTAATTTAAGATTCAAGTTTTCCAATTCAAGTATCTCAAAGAGCCACAAAAAAATTTGCCCCATTGTTCGGCTAAGTTGTGCAAAATATATGTTGGTTAAAATTTAAAAATAAAATAAAAAGCAAAAAAAGTAAGACCCGTTTTATAATAATCATATTTTTATATTATATTTAGGGGGGTGTTTGGGAAGCCGTGGGTGAGGCTATTTTAGACTTAAATGAGAAAATAGTCAAAAAGCAACGACTGCCATTGATTTTCAAAAAATAAAAAAATAAAGTCAAAAAGCAATGGATGCTGCAGCAACGCAGCCTACACTGCCACCAATAGTGTAGGCTGCAGATAGGTTAAATTACTATATTACCCCTACACAACAATTTTGGAAAAAATAAAGTCAGGGGCAAATTTGTCATTTCAATTTAAACATCATTTCAAACATATTTTTCAATACAACAATCAACCCAAAAATTTAACCCAACTTTCCAAACACACAAACTAAAATAACCTATTAAAATAACTAAAAAATTAAAAAACTTACTAAAATAACCATTTTCCAAACGAGACCTTAATTTACCAGGTTAATTGTCACTATTTATGTCAGTCTTCAACGTAGTGACAATAGCTCATGTAAAACAACAATGTGATATAAATATATAAAAAGATACCATTTATCTTGTTTGGTTATATTTGTTTTTTCACTTAAAAAAGTATAACTTTAAAAAAAATTACTAAATACAAAAAATATATAAAGAATACAAAAATTTAATATATTTTCATATTTTATTATATTCAATAAATTTTTTAAAGATTTTGATACAAATTTTATGCTTTTTAAATATATTAAGATTCTAAAAAGTTTTAAAAAATTAAAAAAAATTGATTAAACTATTTTTAAAAATCACTAAAAATACAAAAATACGAATTAAAAATTCAGAAAAGTGTTTTTAAAAATTTCAAACCAAACAGAGTGATTAATTTTTTGTCATCATTTTATATTACTATCTATATGTATATTCATTTCTGATTATTTATTTATATATTTAGTTAATTATTAACAATTAATAAAAATAAATAATATCATCTTATGTAATTCAGTAAATTTATATTAACAAATAGAAATAAGCATACCGTGTGAGCTACAATATGATGACTATTTCTGGGCAATGTCTCGGCAGTCATATTTGTATATCAAATTTAAGTTAAATTTTTTTATTTATATTTTGTATGATTAATTGTATAAAAAAAAATAATTAAAAAAAAGCCATAAGTTTCACAGGTATTTAATTTTTATTGTTCTATTAGGGTATCTCCAACGATGCATCAATTTTTTTACTAAATTTGAATAAAAATTTGAGTAAAAGCTCCTTCGATATAACTCATTTAGCTCCAGTGCTTTGAAAGAATAAAAATTATTAGTTAATTAATGTAGATAATTATTTGTAAAACTTGAACTTACCCAGAAACCTACTAAAAGCTTTGCACATAAGTTTGAAAGAAAAAATTACTAATTAATTAATGTAGATAATTATCTGTAAAAATTGATCTTACCCAGAAACATACTAAAAGCTTTGCAACTAATCTCATTATCTCAGGTTTTACATGGTTTAATGCTAACTTTATTAATGAAGCGTTTGGCTATTCTAATTAGGACTACAAAAGTACAAAAGACAAAATAGGTTAAATAAGTCAATAAGATAAAATGTCACATTCAAACTATAATTATTTTACTTTTTCTCTTACAAAAGTTAAAAATGTCAAAAACAATTTATCAAACGAACTTTTTAATCCAAAATTAAAAAAGTCTCAACTCTAAAAAGCTAACTAAAACTAAAAAAATTTTTGTCAAACAACGACTAAGTATACATATTTATTTTTTTTAATTTTTGTAGAATATTAACAAGTTAATCATTAAACTAAAATGAAGATCAATGTGTTGTCTATAAACTCGAATATGAGATCTCTCACCAGCACTTAACTACCTTTTTAAGACCACTTACAAGCTGGTTTTTGAACTTTTATCTTCATATTAACCTGAAGACATCTCGAATTGCCGAATTATTTTTTAAAGTACTAAAATATTTAAATAATTTTTTTATAAGATTATATAAATAAGTTATCCAATGAGATTAGATTTGAATAAATTATTAAACATATAATAGAATTATTAATAGTATTCAGAATAAGTTTTACCACAATCACTACAAGAAAAGCAATTTTAGCGACTAAAAATATAAATTTCGTCGCTGAAAGTAGGACAATTGGCGACTAAAATTGAATTAGTAGCCAAAAGTAAAGACTTTTGGCGACTAAAACAGTTTAGTAGCCAAATATTAGTAGCCAAAAGTAAAGACTTTTGGCGACTAAAACAGTTTAGTAGCCAAATGTGTAGTTATTGGCGACTAAAAATCAGTTTAGTCACCGATTTTATGGATTTTAGCGACTAAAACAATTTTAGTAGCCAAAAGTATAGGTTTTGGATACTAAAAAATAGTTTGGCTGCCGATTATAGGTATATTTTACCAACAAAAAAAAATTTTGTAGCCAAAAGTAAAGGTTTTTGGCAACTAAAAAAAATTTAGTAGCTAAAAGTGGCGACTAAAATTCAGTTTAGTCGGCAAAAGTGGAGGGTTTGGCGACTAAAAATAAGTTTAGTCGCTGAAAGTGGTTATTTTTAGGCGGAAATTATTTTTTTTAGCGATTAAATTATTGGAAATAGCCAAAACTAAGGTTTTTGGCAACTAAAAAAAAATTTAGTCGCCAAAAGTGGCTTCCTTTTTTTTTAATAAATAATTTATTTTTTACATAATTATATTGAATAAAAATATAATTATGTTTATATATATAGTTTTATATTAATATGGGTCAATATACTATATAAATAATATATTTTGCATATATATTCATGTGGTATTATTGTTGCATAGTGGAGAGAGTGTGTTGCTAAAGGTTTAAAATGTGGGAAGTTGGTGGTTCAAAACTTGGGAAGAGTAGAGGGTAATTTTTTTTTTTTCTTAAATAAGCTTTTGGCGACTAAAATGGGTGGTCGCCAAAAACTTCAGTATTGGCGACGAAAAAAATAGTCGGCAAATGTATAAATTAAAAAAAAAATAATTCACTATTGGCGACTAAAAATTTAGTCGCCAAATGTATAATTTAAAAAATATAAATGAGCTTTGACGACGAAAATTTTAGTCGTTACAGACTTGGTTTTTGGCGACTAAAAGTTTTTTAGTCGCCAATACCTCCGGTGACCATGTATTTGCGACAAAATCGGCGACTAAAATATTTAGTCGGGGAAAATGAAAAGTCGATTGTTGGCGACTAAAAAAGGACTTTTGGCAACTAAAAATTTAATCGCCAAAGGTGCTTTTTCTTGTAGTGGATGGGATAAATAAATTAACAATAATACTACAAATTTAGATTTTGTGGTTTAGATTTATTTTACACATGAATCTCACAGTATATAAATTCAGTCTTAACCAGACAATCTCTTTTGGGATAATTAAGGTAGGATTCGTAACATTTTTCATATATTAAATAGAAAGAGTGAGCAGTGTAGTAACGTCAAACTTTTGTTATAATGGGATGAAAATATAAACTTTTGTCTTTTCTATTAAAATTTGTGAAGGAAATAATTTAAAGAAGTTTAATCTCACTGTAGAAAATTTGACTTTTAGACGCATTTAAAAAACGCCGCTATAGGCCTCCAAAACACCGCTAATATCTTTTGTGACGCTTAGCACCAAACGTTGAAGTCTCGTCCGTCGTTGTAACTTTATGACACCTTAGAAACATTGTTATATTGTTATAGGTGCCGTTTGCTAAATGTTGTACATAACAGTAAAATGACGTCACGATAATATATAACGACGTTTTCAAAACGCCGTCATAGCTTTTTTTTTATTGTAAAATCTAACCGTTGGCAATATAGTGGCGTTTTGAGAAACGCCGTTATATCTTCTTCTTTTTTTCGAATTGTGCTAATTTTATGTGGTTAAACTAAAACATGTAATAAAACTGAAAAATAGCACTAATATGAAACAATAACTCCCATTCAAATAGCAAATGCAGCATTAATTCACTTTCACATTCAATTTAATATTCAACCACCATTAACCACAAAATAATATATCCACAAATCATGTTTTAACATTAACCACAAAATAACATATCCATAAATCATGTTTTAGCAATAGAAGCTCATATAGCTGTAGTTTTCACTGGTCTAAATGCCTGCATCAGAACATGGAAATCAAAATGAGAAAACTCAAAATCTAGTTAGTGAATGAGAAACAATTTAGGTTCAAATTTTAGATAAATCAGTTGAAATCAAAATGGACAAGAAGAAGTCAAGTTACTTAAACTTCAAGAGTGTTTTTTTAAGGGCATTGATAAACAAAGCATAAAATAGTCTTAAATTCTTAACTATACTTTCTTTTATAAAGAATGAACAACAATTGGAAGCTTATTAACAAGGGAAAATGATCAGCCATTCACAAGAATGAAAACAAAGTATAATTATTTATCTATATAAAGTTAATATATCCACAGAATGCATCACAAAGCAATAGAGAGTCAAAACAAAACAAAAAACAAAAAACAAAAAAAAAAATCAATCCAAAGTAATAACATAATGCAAATACTAAAAACATAACCATGATGATGAAGATGTAGCAAAAAAGAATGTCCTACAATTATAATCTCTAACATTGTAAACGACAAAGCAGAGTGTGAAATAAGTGTTTCTTTACCATGCAAGAGTGCAAAAAAGCTTCTTATTGTTAGTTCTTCTTTTCTTATTCTTCTTCTTCTCTTTCTTTGAAAGTTGAACATACATTTAATAAGAGCAAGTATTTTAATTAGTAAGGTCTTGTCTTGTCAAAAGGCTTTGATTAAATGATTGCTCACCTCTTAGGATGAAAATATATAAGATTGTTGTTAATGTGGCATTGGCCTAATAGTAGGATGACTACTAAGTGAATCCACAACCTATCATTCAATAAAAGACTTAAGTTATACAGTAGCTCTAGGCAATTTAAAGTAATAACTAGTAGAAATAGTTGAAATACGTATAGCCTATGTAATGGGTTTAAGGGTGCAACTGTTGGTACAATGGGCACGCCCGCAGCTTGCAATTGAGATTCCAAAACCTCAATTCGTGACTGAAAATCTGTGCGTATAGCCTGAATTTGGTTCTCCATTATGTCATTCATTTTCGACTCTAACTGCATTTGATGCCATTGAAGTTTCTCTTCAACTTGTTCTTGAACTCAAGTTTGGAATATACGATTATGCTCTTGTGACTACCTATATCAACCTCCAAAAACATCAATGAGGGACAGTCCCAATCCAAACGTCCTCCAAGTCCATAACTCGAGTTTTGAATTCAATAATTGGCCTCCAATATGAATCATTTTAAAAGTCTAACAAAGTAGTATCACATACCATAACCACATCAACTGAATCACCATTTGACGTCCTATCTTTTATGTATACAGCCATCTACACCTGTGATCGACTAGCAAGAACCCCATTGTTCTTTTTTTGTCTCCTATAAATAAAAGATAGATAAAACAAATAAATAGACTTTCCCTTGCATAACAAACAAAGACAAATATATGTTTCCCTTGCATAACAAACAAAGACAGATATATTGCATAACGGCAAAGTTATTCACCTTCTAGCTGAGAAACAAAGACAGTATATGTTTCCCTTACAAAACAAACAAAGACAGATATATTGCATAACGAAAGAGTTATTCACCTTCTAGTTGAGAAAATAGATAGATTTTCTTCCACTCAAAAAGTAAACGATGAACTGAAGTACAATTACAAGGACAAATAAATGTGTACAAAACATGAAAAGAATAGTATTAGGATTTCGGACTAAAATCATAATAGAGGAGGCTGAAGCACTGATTTTTTTCACTAGCACGTTCTAAATTAATAGTCTTTATAGACAAATATAGAATAGTGACACCATTTGACATAAACTATAATGCCTTGCTTCAAAATGCAGTAGCAAAGGCAACAAGTAAGACGACTATGGCCTAGAAAAAAGAAGAACACATATTTGATAAAGCATATCAGACTATTTGTTTCTGGCTGACTATTTTAAGAAAGTGATACTTAAGAAAGTACCATATAGTCATTTGTCAGCAAATTCTACAAATGGTTGTTATCCTTTTTCCCCATCTCAACTATTTTAAGAAAGTGATACTTATGCTGCTATAGAATAGTGTAATAACCATGACCTGTGATTAACCTATAACCTATGATTAAGAATGCCTAATAAGTAGTTAGAAGAAATTCTGAATCAATAACATGTGTATTGCATTATTTGAGTTTATATTTGTCTGTTGTAGGAATATTTGTCTATGTTTTTGTTTCGGTATGAGAATTGAAGACCTTATCAACATCCGATCACAAAATTGACTAAGTTTATGTGTTATTTGGAATTTTTAAAATTTTATGGTAGGTTTAATTGAAATTCAATTCGGAATAAAATAATTAGAATAAATTAATTACCACTAATTTAAGTTAACATTAACTAATCAAAGTTTATTAACCTAAGTTAATGAGCCTATATAATGCTCCATTACGTGTTATTACACTTGCGCTCAACATCTTTGAGCCTTCAAAAATGTGAGAAGAGGAAAGAGGGAGAGAAATTGAGATCAAAGCTTGGAAAATAGGAAGTTGAAGAAACTTGAAGACAGATTTGAGGAATTAAGCAAGGATATTACTACATTTCAAGAATTGAGAATCTTAGGTAAGAATTCAACTCACATTTTGTCACTTTAAGCTCATTTACATGTTAATTCAAAGGAAATTAGAATGTAATGCATGAATTAAGCTTAAAAATAGAAAAGAAGAGCATTCCATACATATGTGTGCATTTCATGGAGTTTCGATGTTGTTTTCAAAAGAATTCTCTCATGGATAAGATAATTCTAACTTGGTTTTGGGAGTTCATCATGATTTATATCATTTGACTTCATTCGATTATATTTTGGAGGCTTAGAAGTCAATCCATTTCATGCATGTTTGTTCTCAAGTCTCAAGTTGGTTTTGGTTCAATTGGCATGCTTTTGGGCTTTGATTTTGTGAAATAATTTTGAATTCACAATGTTTTACAAGTTTACATATGTTTCTTCAAGCTTTTATCCTAAAGGAACATGTTTTGCAGCTTTGAATTTGAGTTTTGGACTTAGAACATCAACCTGGAAATTTCAAAATTCTGCATCATCGCTCAAGCGACCACCCTTTGTTTTGTATCTCAGCTCAAGCGAGAAGAAGTTGGCTCGAGTGTAAAATTCATACCCCCAAAATTTTTACGAAATTTTACAGACCGCTCAAACGGCTAAAGTTGTGCTTGATCGAAGACCCTATTTACTCAATCTTGCCCTCGACCGACGGTCGAGCGGACATCGAGCATAAAAATCATGTAACCAGTACTTTTGCAAACTTTACAGACCACTCGAGCGACAAAAGTTGCGCTCGGGCATACTGCCCTATTTTTGAAAATTTGACTAAGTGTTTCAAAGCACATTTTAGTATCCTCATTGTATCTTAGGCATTCTTAAGCCCAAATTAAGACATAATAATGAGGATAAGGATTAGAAACACACCAAGAAAGAAAAGAAATGAGTTAAGTGTTTTGCGAGCATGTGTTTCAGCGTGTATCTGTTATCTGTTTGTGTAAGTCACGCGCCGTGAGCTATTTGATCTGTTTGCTCTGTTTGTCTGCTTTTGGAGACAACTGTAAGTAATAACTTAGTAAAGCTATGTTCAACTTTATTTATTTTTTGTATGATGAAATAAGATCTATTTTCTAAAATGTTATATTCTGTATAATGAATGATTGTCCAATTTTTGACATGTATTCGTGGCATCCTTAGCATCATGTAATATATGTTAGATGTTACCCGGTATCGGAGGTTCCATCATGGAACTTATTATATCTGTTATCTGTTACCCGTACCGAAGGCTCCATTAAGGAGCTCAGCATATTTGTTATCTGCTACCCGGATCCGGAGGTTCCTTTATGGAACTCGTTACTTATAACCACCATCTGTTTTGCATCTGTACTGTATCTGTTCTATTAACACTAATGGATGTACCACATACGATTAAGCATCAACTCTGATTTCTATACACGATTTGAACAAGAATATGAATATGAATCTGATTCTGATTCTGTTTCTGAAATAAATACGAATTTGCATTTTGAATCTGATATGGGACATCGTTCATTTAAATCCCTTTACTCTGTTATTATTCACTGGACTCCCGCTCACTGTATTATTTATGTATGTAGGTGACCAGGCGCACAACCAGGCTCAATGATGATGGCCTGGAATTTTGTTTTATGTCGGCCAACCATAATGCCTCCTAAGGAGGTTCCCAAAATGTTTAACGGTCAAGTTTTGTGGATTATGTATAAGTTTTCTACTTTCTTTACTTGGTTTGGAACAAGTTTTTGTAAAACTGTTCCTCGGGCTAAGTCCCAACTTGACTATGTGGACATGTGATGGTGACATAAGACTTTGTTAATATGACGTCACGAATGTGTGTAAATAAAGTTTTAAATTCCTATCCCATGTATGTCTGCACAGCTCAATGGACTATGTATATTTTATATATCTGCTTCTATAGCCCCTTACTATGTGTTAATCTGTTCAGAGGCCTTTGGTAATCCTAGTATTACTGGCCGGTTACGACGCTAAACCTATAGGGACGGGTTTGGGTCGTGATAAATAGTTCTAAATTGAGGTTCAAATTTGAATGATCATAGAGATAACTTTCCAGTATCATGTATAAAGCTATTTTATATATTTGAAACTTGAACCAAATTCCTATACATACTAATTATACCTCCACTCGGACTACTAATAAAGGCTTTTGGCCTATTCTATGATGTAATGTCTTCTTCTTCCAAATTTTTCTATTCTTCTTACTTGATTTCTATTAAAAATGAAATTCATTAAGATATTATCAAAAATTATCATTTATAAACATTTTTTTACATAAATAAAATAGTACCGATGCACTCTGAGTGCCCCAATAATAGACCAAGGTTCGCCACTGATCCTCATGTACTTTGTCCGGTCGATGAACCAACCTATCTGCATCATTCTTAAAGGGTTTGTATCCCAATTTTTTTCACTTGACTTTTCTAGTCTCTCCATTTCTTCACAAGTAAAGCCACTATTGTTCTCTTCCTGGATTCATTTGCATCCGTATGAGCCAAAGATTATCGCATCATATCAAGTACTTTAAACATAATAAATTTATTTATCTTTTGGGTAACTGAAATTATTCAATTTGTGATTCTCAACAGGTTGGATCAAGATCAACACTGCCAATTACATCCATAAAGCTAGAAAGAACAACCTAATGAGCATTCAAGTCATGGAGCTACTTCTTCTCCTAGGCTTCAATACTCTAATGCCATGAATACATTTTATGATATCAGAAATAGACTAAAACCCAAGTTCCCAATGATCTTTTAGTCCACAAAACAACCCTTGCCATGATTAAATCAATGAGTTCTTCCATATCCTCTTTCCTAGACTTGTAAATGCATTACATAGCTAAAATCTTCAATAGATGAAGGTCAAAACCCAAAACACTTTCAATTCAGAATGACCAACCAACTAAAGACTTCAACAAATAACAAAAACATGACTTTTTTTTTTAATTTTCTGCTTGTTTAATAGAAACATGACTTGTTTCTGTTATATAAACAAAAATAAATAGAGATTTTAATTTTCTACTTCTTTTTTTATATGACTTGTTTTTTAATATTTTTTTCTTATTTGGTTATTTTTCATAACAATTGAAAATGAATATTAGGGTGAAAATGCAGAACATAAGAGCACAAACCAGAGCTTGAAATTAATTAGTGTAACCCTAACACAAACTTGCAAAGGAACAAATAAGAAGATCGATATACATATACAAATACATGTATATATATATATATATATAGAGAGAGAGAGAGAATACAAAACTGAGATTGTAGACAATGGTGCTCACTTTAGTAGGCTAATGTCCATGCTGTCCTCGTCGATGCAGATGGTGATGGCGGTGGAGCTTCGAAATCGAGGGGGAGAGAGAGAGGGAGAGAGAACTTCAAAATCGAAATCACTCTATGATAAATCACTGAGATGAAGATGAATCATCGAGCTGAAGATGAAGATGAATCGATCCTCTATGCTGAAGGGTTTGGAGAGAGAGAGAACGTTTCCAAATAAGGGTTTCAAAATAAGGATTTGAAGGTGTTTTTAAATGACTTCTATTCTTAAAACGGGATCGTTTTAATTATTAAAAAAAATACGATGTTTATAAAACGCCGTTAAAACCATCATTTCCTATATTGTCTCCCTAGCATTACAATTTCTTATTTAATCTCTTGTACTAGTAAGACATTAATTCAAAAAAAAAAATTATATTGTGCTAAACAAGCATCAAATTAAAAAAGAAAAAATTACACTACTTTTAAAAAATAATTATTAACACAAACAAAATTTATACATTTAATAATTAAATTATGTGACATTTATCATTAATCTGAATTTTTTTTTAATGTTATTCCCTCATTAAAAAACATGTGGGCCTATATGTTTCCGTATTTTTTAACCAAATGTGAGGTGTGATGGATATGTTCCCCAATTAAACGGGAGGTTGGGTCTGGTTAGGGCGGTGTAAAATACTGTTCAATCCGTTAAAATCATACTGATCCACATTGATGCGCACCGTTTTATCCACTAACCATAGATTAAATTTTAAAATTTATAATCCGCTTTCAAAATGGCTCCACTCTGCTATAATTAATACACGTATTTTTTAGTATTTAGCGGAATATCAAAGTAAAAAATGAGTGTGAGAGAGAGATTTAAGATGTGAAATTTGTTACAAATTAGTAGTTATATATGAAAAATATTATGTAAAATTAGTTTGTGTTATATGTATGAAAAATATTGTCCAAATTAGTATTATATATTATGCAAATGTTTGATAATTGATTAGAATATTCTTCAATCCGCCCAAAACCGCCCAAACTGCGATTTGCCAATCTGTTATTCGATTTATAATTGTAGTCTCAATTCGCCCAAACTACACCTCATACACCCTTAGGTCTGGTTGTCCCCTTTCATTGCTAGACAAGAAATGAAGAAAAAAAAATTTTTAAAAAAATAAATTAATGTTCAAATTTGATATTTGTGTTCACCTATTATGCTAAACTGGTCAGATCCAAAACTCACATATGCATATTTTGATATAATCTGAATAGAAATTGTATCTAATTTGATCCGATTGTTCTCACAGAAGTTGGAAGAGTAATCCGGATCCAATCTGTCTCGAATATCCACCCGATATGTTTCAGAAACCTGAAAATCTATCCTCACCCAATTCATTTTTTTCAAAAATTGCTCTAACATATTTCATCATGAAGATTAAAAAACTTTCAACACAATAAATTGGATCAAATTCGATATTGTTCAATCTAATTCAATTACATATCTTTAATGAATTCGGGTACATCAGATTATTCGATCATATTAAAGATTTTTCAAATTGAATTCAAATCAAATTTTAGATTATTGATAACTCTTCGCTCTTTCTATTATTGTACGAGCACAAAACAATCTTCACTCATATAATCCTGTTGATCAAGCTTGTGCTCCTCTAAACTTCTTCGTAACACCTAAAATCACAAACGTGAGTTGGCCAGCGAGTGTGTGCCAGAAACCTCTCTGATGCCTAAGTCAACAAGTAGACAAAGGAAGTAAAAGCTATATGAATTTGGGAGTAGTAATTGTCATACATGAGATTAGGGTTTGGTTTGAGCTTTTGTGAGTTTCGCACGGCACAATCCTAGTACGACTCTAACTCTCCTTTGTAGAGTTCTCCTAGGAATCACATTCCTAAAGGATAATGCTTATCCCTGAACACGCTCCCTACTGCAAGCCAAGTGAAATGGCATAACTCTTTGGACGGCTTCCCGCCGAGCAACCAAACTACTTTACTCTGTCAACCACTGACTTAGTCGTGCAACATGCAACGCTGTGCACGGCTTGCACGCATCATCATGCTAACACTGCACGGCTCTCCCCTAGCTCGGTCAAAGTTCATTCTGCAATTCCATTTGACCTCCTTCTATATAGCTCGGTCAAAACATTGACCGCCACTAGGAAGTTGCTAGGTCTAAGAACATGGACATTTACTAGTCCAATCAAACGTCTTTGACCGGCCTAGTCTCAGCTTGGCCCAATCCAAGCTATCTGCAAAACATAGCTCGGCCCATTACGCCCAAGCCTTAAAGCCACTTCCATCTAGATCGGCCCAATTTGACTACACAAATTAGCCTCTCAATTTCCCCTTAACTCTATCTGCAACGCATAATTGGGATTACTCTTTATAGCCGAGCTATAATGCTCAACCCTACCGAGCTAACCAAAGTTGCTTAGTCGTAAAATATGATCGATCTGAAGTGGTCTCATCAATCATACAACACGTTCACCAACCACTCTGACACGATGTCCTTTTTGGGACACATGGCTAGCCCCGATTGCGTCCATGCACTGTTACAGTCATCACGCATATCTCCCAAAATTTTGAATCATCCTACCTTTTTACCTTCTGTTATATATGCTCCATACACTCAAATGGACTCCTACTACTGTTCATCTTCTTCCATTTCACTAACCATAAAACCAAAGTTCCATCCTTTCATATTCCTGCATTTCTGCCTCAAATCGAAGCACATCCACTACAACACTAAGCTTGCAATTGCAGGAAGACACTTTTCATATATTCTATGTCTCCGATAAAATGGTTGATTACATCTTTTAAGTAAAATGGCTTTAGATGTTCATGCTATTATTCTCATATCTTTTTAGTGCACAGTCACAATATTTATTGTGATTACCTCCACTTTATTTTGTTTTGTTTTTCTTGGCCAATTTTGTTGTTGCTTGTGTGATATTAAACGAACATGCAAATTATAATATATACTTTTTTGCCAAGTTGTGCAAAGAAGCAATTGGATGATGCTAAATACTGGCTTTATAATAAATGCGAGTTGTTTTCTTCCCTTCTTCTGTTATGGAGGGAAAAAATATGAGGCCAAGCCCAAACCTAATCACACTAGCCTAAAACAAAAAGAAGTAAGTCCAAGCCCATCCCTTAAAGCCCACGGAAGATAGTTGGCTGTAACTTGGCATCTAATCAAGGCGCATGGAGGACAAGCAACTATAAAAGATAGCATTCCAGAAGAAAGATCTCTAAAATAAAGGAGAGACGTTGGACTGGGTATCATCCAACATTAAAAAATGTAAAACGAACAAGACTAAGGAATAAGTTGGGCCTAGTAGGAGAAGGGGACATTTGATCAAATTGATCCTACAGATGTAATGCTCAGCGAGCTGGCCACTGACGTGTTTGACACCATCCAAGCCGTCTATGCGACAGAGATCCAACAATTAAAGACAAGGGCAACTTGGAAAATTGCCCGACCAAAACCAAGCGTGAGTAGAACCCTTTTATCAAAAAACAATCCAATTGATGAGATTTGAGCCAGAATAGCTATACATAGGTAAGGAAACAAAGTATAAGGGGACAAGAGAAAAAAAAATCCAATTCTACTAAATCTTGATTAGCTTCTACTTTAGAAATATTTCATTTTTAAATATTTATGTGCTATGGCCGATCAGTGTAATGACTTGATCGTTGGAGGGTCCTCCCCGCCTACCCTGGTCGAGAATGATCACTGATGTTTGGTTTCTCTTTATAGAGTGCAAAGGATAAGGCACATTATCATGCATTCCTTGTGGAGATAATCTCACATTTCACAATTGGCACCGTCTGTGGGAATCGATGAAAAGATGAGTGTCCATCCTTCTCTAAAAGGGATACCAAGTGATCATCAGCACATTTTGATCAAGAACACACTCGGTCAAAACTTTGGCCACAATTCTGAAATGCCACCAGAAGACTCGGCAAGCATAACCCCCCAAGGGAAAATGATTGGCAAAATCAATTAGTGGACCAGCTTATTACCCAAATAAAGACCCTAAAGGAACTATGACAAGCCCAAAGAAAGGAGGACTAGAGAAAGGCACATGAGAGGCAAAGCATCGAAATAAAAAATGATGTCCCCCAAATAGATGCAAGCCAAACAACCAACAGCCAACCTAATCAAACGCCAAAAAGGCGTCAAACCAATCAGAACGGTTCGCCTGACCCCTCGAAAAGAGACCAAAAAGTTGGCTTAATCAACGTACCAGAGAAAGCCTAAAATCGGTTCGAATAAAGATTCTTTTATGAGAAATGGCCTCTCCCTTCTTGAAAGCCATTGACAGTGCTGACCCACCGAAGATATTCGCTCCTCCAAAGTTCAACTTGTATGACGATAAAGGAGACCCGACCAACCACATACAGCATTTCACGTAAACCATGACCTTATGGAGCAATAATGGGCCAATCATGTGCAAAATGTTCTCTTCCAGTCTGGAGTCTGATCCATTAATGATTGGAGACAACTACAGAAGGCATTCATCTCACGCTTTATCACTAATAGCCAAGCATCAAAAGAGATGGGCGTGCTCCTTAAGATGAAGAAAGGGAAAAGTGAAAGCCTGAGGGAGTACGCCAGCAGATATTGGACAGCCTACAATGAAATCAACAATTGCACTAAACAATTGATAGTCGTATCCTTCAAATTAGGCATGTATCAAACCAACAAGCTCTGACAGTTCCTAAACAAGAAACCCCCCACTAACGTAAGCAGTCTAATGAGCTGTGTGGAGTGGCATTATAAGAACAAGGACGATCTGAAAAAAGCCTAGAAGCTAAAGAAAGGAAGAAAGAAAATCCTCCGACTAGAAGAGGAAGGAGTCAAATGCAATCGCTAAACAGCCCAAGTCATGGAAGGAAGCATACAAGGTGATTGTCACCACCTTCACAAAACCAACATACCAAATCCTGATGAAGATCCTAAATGAGTTGTACTTCCTATGGCCTCAGAAGATGGTTGGGGATTCGTCTCTTAGAAATCGAAGGCTAAGATGTTCCTATCACAAAGATTATAGACAACTCACTGAAGATTGCAAATCCCTGAAGCAATTCTTGGAGGAACTTGTCTAAAGTGAACACTTGCAGGCATTTATTGATCACTCAGCAGACCGTAAGGGCAAGT